GTCCTGGGGATCAGGCACCTGCGTGGGAGACTGGGAAGAAGCTCCTTCCTGGCTCCTGGCTCCAGATTAGTTCAGTTCTGGCCGCTGTGACCATTTAGAGGGTGAACCAGCGGATACAAGATATTTCTGTCTCTCCTTCTCTCTGTAAATCTGCTTTTCCAATAAAAGTAAATAAATCTTAAGATAAAAAAAAAAAATAAAAGAACTCCAGGTTTACCAAAGAAGAGATGACATGATCTCTGAGGCCTTTGCAACTTTAGCACAGACTGTCCTTACATCTCATTGACGGTCCCTACTGCACCTTACCCTGTGGCTCTGCCCTGCTTGGCAGGTTCCTCTACATTTTGAAAACACACACATACCACATACCTAAAGGCTGGCATTCCCTCACTCATATTTCTAAAAAGAAACCAGCAGTAAGCTTCTTTCTATTCTGACAATCTATCATGACAAAGTTTCTCAAAAAAATCTTAATTCAATGCCGTTCCTCTTTCAGAAACCAGGGCTAAATCAGAGCCAAGCCACCTGCTTTACCAGAGTAACTATAGCTGCCACACTGCACACCTGAACCCACCTAACCCCTCTCCACTCGAAGCCTGTGACTCATGATTGTTTAGCCTGGAGACAACACAAACAAAAGCAACCACGGGTGCACACCAGAACAAAAAAGTTAAAGAGCAGATACACCACTTTAGAGTTCATGAGTTGTCCTTAAGGATCAAGACCCTGACTGTGAGAAAATAAAAAGCCACCACAGGGAAATACAGCACTCCACCCCAGGCCACAGGAGGCTCACAGGCAGGGCTTCAGAAAGCAGGCCAGACTAGGCCACTGCCTGGCAGGTCCCACTTCCTGCTACTGCTTCACTGGCTCCCTCTTCCTGATAACACACCTCAGGATGCAGCAGCTGAGGGTTCAGGCACCCGGCTGCCTGATAGCTGCGGGAGACCGGGAACCTGTTCCGGGTATTTGGGAGAGTGGACTGGCACATGAAGATGTCTTCCTCTCCGTCACTCTGCCTTCCTAATAAATGCTGGGGGACTGGGTGGTACTGACACCATGGCACTGAAAGCTAAGCTTCAGCCTGTGATGCTGGCATCCCACACAGATGCCAGTTTGAATCCAAGCTACTCCACTTCTGATCCAGTTCTTTGCTTATGGCCTAGGAAGGAAGTCAAGGATGGCTCAAGTCCTTGGGCCGCTGCACCCATGTGGGAGACCTGGAGGAAACGTCTGGCTCCTGCCTTCAGATCAGCTCAAGTCCGGCCGAGCCCCCTGCTAACACGCCTGCTAAAGCAGCAGAGCAGGGCACAAGCGCCTAGGAGACCAAACTAAGATTTCTGGGCTCTTGGTTTCAGCCCAGTGCAGCTCCAGGCACTGGATATCCCCCAGAGCACCCTCCAGCCCGCTCTGTAACTGCCTTTAAGTAAATAAATCTTTACACAAAGGTAGGGGACAGAAGCTGAGAAAATGAGTTGCCACACAGAAGCTTGAAGAGTAGGACCTCGCCCTTTTCGTCTCTCCTCCTCAATGCTCAGTTAGTATGATGGCTAGCCCGGCATTTTCCGTGCCAAAGTTTTTTTCAGTTCTAAATACAGCGTTCTTTGGTGAAAATCAGACCTGGTCCTACTCACAAGCAAGGTACACACCCTCCAAGTGCAAAGGAACCGTGTGCTGGTCACCTGCGAACCCAGCACGGGCATGCAGTCATCACTTGGGCTTCCTGTCCACTGCTACCTTCCACGGGAACGGAAAGTCAAAACAACATAAAATAAATGGCTCAACAACCGGTCTATTTCTCATACTAAAATCTCATATAGTGTTTTGTATGTGAAGTGTACCCTTAAAAAAAAAAGATTAAAAGAAACAAGGTCTATGTCTTGAAAGGCAGAGTGAAAGGGCCAGAGAAACAAATCTTGCATCCTCTGGCTCACGCTGCACACGGCCTCACTGAACGGGGCTTGCCAAGAAGAGGCCAGAGGCTAGGCACTCCGGCCAGTCTTGCCCGTGGGCAGCAGAACCTCGAGCACTCGAAGGCCATGTGCTGCTCCCCAGGCACATCAGCAGGGAGGCGGGCAGAGGCAGGGCAGCTGGGACTCACCGGCACTGCTGCACACAGATGCCGGCTGCTGCTGGGCCAGGGTTCCAGGAGTTCCAGCTGGGTCTCCCACATGAGTGGTGGGATCCACGCTAAACTTGGGGTGCCATCCACTGCCCCCACATGCATAGCTGGAAGGTACGGAATGTAAACGGCTAAAGTTAAGCCCACCCCAATCCACTTCTGTAAGAAAATCAATCACAGAATGTTTTAAATGTTGAAATCTTCAGCGGAAAAAAAAATGGTTTTTCTATATTTAGAAATACAGAAACATATTTTCTACATTGATGATGGAATTGTGTATTTCTGATCTTCCCATCCTTGTTCAGACCTGCAAGACCATTTTCAAGGCTGTAGAGGCAGGCTCAGGCTGAGGGAAATACACTGAATTATTTATATCCTTATATCCAGCACGAAACTGTCAAAAAGGCAGTGACTAGAAACCAAGTGAGGATCACTTATCGCCAGGACACAGTAAGCTGTAACTCCAAACGAAGTGTCTCAAAGGACCCATTCAGACACATTCTCACACAGCCCAAGTCTCGCACCCACAGGCAAGCTCACAATGAGAGGGTCTCAGGTGCCGAAAAGAAACACCTAACTGAATTAAAAATGTATGCTCTTACAAATAATCCTAAATAGGATTACTTATTGTGATAAACTATCACGTCCTAAAACCAGCTGCCGGGGCCCAGCGCAATGGCCTAGCAGCTAAAGTCCTTGCCTTGAACGTGCCAGGATCCCATATGGACGCTGGTTCTAATCCTGGCTGCTCCACTTCCCATCCAGCTCCCTGCTTGAAGCCTGGGAAAGCAGTCGAGGACGGCCCAAAGCCTTGGGACCCTGCACCCATGTGGGAGACCTGGAAGAATCCTGGCTCCTGGCTTCGGAACAGCTCAGCTCTGGCCGTTGTGGCCGCTTGGGGAGTGAACCAGCAGATGGAGGATCCTTCTCTCTGTCTCTCTTCCCCATAAATATGACTTTCCAATAAAGATAAATCTTTTTTTTTAAAGTGAGAACATTTAGTTCCTTATTTCCAAAAACACTACCTCATCATTTTTGTCTAAACTGGAGGGTAGAGCACTTGAACCAAGGGAGGGGCGGTGCAGTGGCTCCAAGGCTAATGAATCCTCGGGCTGCAGTTAGGCACCCCCTTCGGGCAAGGGCTGTAACCTGCTACTCCACTTTCCATCCAGCCCTGCCCCGCCCCTGCCCCCTTACGGACTGGGAAAGTTGGGAAAGCGGTGGAGGACGGCCCCTGGCGGAAGCTCCCGGCTGCAGATCGGCTCAGCTCCAGCCACTGCAGCCATCTGAGGAGTGAACCAGTGGAAGATCTCTCTCCCTCCTCTCTCTCATTAGAAGGAAGATTCTCTCTCTCTCTCTCTCTCTCTCTTTTTTTTTTTTTGTAAATCTTTCAAATAAATAAATCTTTAAAAATAAAATTTAAAAAGAAATGCAGGAAGAGACAGAAAGGCACCAGCTAGAAGTGGCAGGGCAGCAGAGTGCCTTTAGGAAGAGCAGGAACAGACCGAGTCACCCAGAGACAGCGCGAAGCAGGAAAGCGATGCAAGCTGGGGCCTGGAAGGTTCCTGCAGATAAGGAGTTCTGGGGCCACCAGCACCCCCAGCCGCCACACAGACCCCGCTGGGGCGCCACTGCGACCGGAGCTTAGGGCCCCAGCCCGGGCACAGCGCTGAACTGGGTCCGCGTTGAGTCTACAGTCTGTCAGACGACAGGACCTCAATCCAAAATGATTCCTGCCTCCCCGTCCCCTTAATCCGCAGACACTGACAACGCCACTTGGAGCAAGTCTTCCCGAGTGTCCGAGAGGCAGGAAAGACAGGAAGAGCGGCAACGTGGCAACAAAGGAAACCCAGCGCCTGTGCCCCTGGAAGGCTGCCTCGCTGGGCGCCCTCGCAGGCTGGGCACGGGCTGGGCACGGCAGGGCGCGGGCACCTGCGTCTCCAGCCAACCCGGCTTTCCCACCGCTCGATTTCCACTTGTTCTTTATCTGCATTCTGAAACTAGGCTAAGATCCAGCCCGATCACCCTTGCCCAGGCTACATCTTTATGACTTAAAACAGTTCCGCTTTCGCTATAGAAGCTTTACAATGTAGCACTAAAAAACAAACCAAGAGAACTCCCCGAATGATTAACGAGCTGCTGAGAACTGAGCCGGCGGGTGAGCCGACTAGGAATCACGTTCCCACTATTCATTCGGCGCCCCGAGTCAGCGACGGGGACCGCAGGGACACCGGCCCGGGCGCAGCAAGCAGAGGCGCTGCCATCCTCCGCGCGGCCTTGTGCCCGGTGCCCGGGCACCTGAGCGCTGCCACCCCCAGACCCGACCGCTCAGCCCGCGCCGCCCGGGCACCGCGAGCCGCGGCGCTGTCACCCGCACTGCTGAGCCGCCAGCGCGCCCCCAAACGCGCCCGGCAGCAGGGCTGCTCCCCTCGGCCGGACCCTCTCCACACGCACCTGGCGGGCTCCCGGGCGGGCCGCGCCGGCAGGAAGCGGGCGACGCAGACGGGGCCGTCCCGCCGTCCCCTCAGCCCTCAGCCGCCCTCAGCCCTCAGCCGTCCCCGCCGTCCCCCTCAGCCGCCGTCCCCCTCAGCCGTCCCCCTCAGCCGTCCCCGCCGTCCCCCTCAGCCCTCAGCCGTCCCGCCGTCCCCCTCAGCCGTCCCCGCCGTCCCCCTCAGCCCTCAGCCGCCCTCAGCCCTCAGCCGTCCCCGCCGTCCCCTCAGCCCTCAGCCGTCCCCGCCGTCCCCCTCAGCCGCCGTCCCCCTCAGCCCTCAGCCGTCCCCGCCGTCCCCCTCAGCCGTCCCCTCAGCCGTCCCCGCCGTCCCCCTCAGCCCTCAGCCACCCTCAGCCGCCTCATCCGGGTCCCGGCGACCGCACTCACCTGCCCGGCGCTCCGGGAGCGCAGTCACCGACTCGGGCCGCCGACGCCGCCCCGCTCCGGCGCCGCCATCGCCGCCGCCCTCCCGCCCCGCGCGCCTCTCCGCCCGCCGGCCGGCCGCGGCCGCCGCACCGACCCACGGAGCACGCGCGCGCCGCCGCGCCCGCCCCGCCCCCGCCGGCGCCCGGGCCAATCCAGACCGCGGCGGGCGGCGGGGAGCTAGGCCGCACCGGCGGCCGGGAGCTGTGCGGCGCGGCGGGCTGCAGGGTCGCCCCGGCCGGCCGGCCGCCGTCGGCTAGGGCTCCGCACCTGTCCCGGCCGCAGAGCCGCCCTGCTTCCGGACCGCGCTATCGTCACCCTGGCCCTTCGCCCCAGTTCCTGTCTGCGAGGAGGAACAAGGCTGGGCTCTCCCCCTCCTTGGCCGCGTCACCCGGTGCTGCGGGTGGGAAGGCTGGGTGGGCAGGGTGCGTGGGCTGCCCCGCAGCCTGGCGCGGGGAAAGGCAGAAAAACCCAGGTCTTTTCAAGCCCCTGACTCTTCTATGCGATAATAACAGCCAGTTTTCTCACATCAACCCTTTTTGGACCTTAACCAGGAAATTTCATAGTCTTGCCTAATAAAGAATGCTTAATTGTTAAAGATTATTTATTTGAAAGGTGGAGTTATATACAGTAGAGAGAGGGGTCTTCCGTCCCACGGATTCACTCCCCGAAGGGCCACGCGGCCAGGGCTGGGCTGATGGAAGCTGGGAGGACGAGCTGCTTCTGGGTGTCCCGAGCTAGTGCAGGGACCCACGGACTTGGGCCGTCCTCTGCTGCCTTCCAGACCGTAAGCAGAGAGCTGCGTCTGAAGTGGAGCAGCCAGGACACAAACCAGAGCCCATATGCAATGGAGAATTAGCGTGCTAACCCACAACGCCAGCCAGTGTAACTAAATTTTGCAGATTGAATATCAAAATTATAAATTATTTCAGTGTCACAGTATTGTAGAATTATTTTAATTTAGTCCTGCTATATAGTAAGAAGTTGAGAGGTTGCGACAGAATGTAGCAGAACTTAATACTGGTAAAAACAACGCAAGCTCAATGATGGAAGAAGGAGGTCGATGTAATTAGCTTTGGACTTAAATGAAACAAAACAATAACCATACTACAGTCCGGAATACCTTCTGGGAGCCAGGGTTGTGAATCAGGGTCAAGGTACGGCCGGGAACACGCATCTGGGCCAGAGCTGGTTGGCCACTGCAGCCCACCCAGAAGACCCGGATGGACCTCCTGCCGCCTGGCGTATGCCTGGACCAATCCCAAACCATTTTTGGGCCATTTGAAGAGTGAACCCACAGCTGGAAACTTTCTCACCTACCCTCCTCGCCCCACTGTTTCTGGCTTTCAAATAAATAAAATTCTCAGAGAACTAAATAATTCCAAGGAAAAAATGTAGAAGAACAAAAATTTCTAAAGAACTTCAAAAAGGCAGAAACCTTAAGCAACACAGGAACCTCAGAGTCACCCAAGAGAAGTTACCAGATTGGCATTGTGGCAACCCTGTGGAAGGATGCACCTGTTTTGTTGTAAAGCTGTCCCGTGATGGGACTCATCTGGCCCCCATGGACAGACCTTTGGCCCGTTTCCACTGTTTTGTATGGAAGCTGTGCTGCAGGGATGGGCACCCGGGGCCGGGGTGAGGATGACCGGGGCCGGGGATAGCTGCAGCCTACACTGGAGGGTCAGACTCAGTTCCAGTTCCATTTTTAAAACCAGTTTACTCTGGCCATACGTAATGAGCGACGGTCGTGTCGCTGCCACTCACATGGGACACCCTGCCTGAGACCCAGGCTCCTGGCGCAGGCCTGGTGCAGGCCTGGCTGGTTTGGTACATGGGGGGGAGGGGCGAGCGATGAACCAAAGAATTAGGGATTTCTTTGTTTTGTTCTCTCTTTTTTCTTTCTCTCTCTCTGCTTTTCAAATAAAATGAAAATAATTTGTAAATGTTAAATGAAAAAAACCTGAATTTATGTAATCTTGCATTTATGCAAGTTAAACAACAGGATGAATTTCTAGAAGTAGAATTACTGCGTCAAAGGGCATGGGCTGTAATTCTAAACAACACTACCCAATTACTTCAGATAAGAGCTATACCTTTTATACTCCCACAAGTAAGATATTTGAGTGGCATTAATGTGTGATATCTGAGCTCATTAAAGTTTTAGAATTCAGAGCTTAGACGCGTAGAAATTGCATCACACCATCCACTCCTTTTACACAGAGAAACGGGAGCCCTAAAAAGTGAAACACTTGCACAGAGCCTTAGAGGAAGTCAGTTACCATCCCCAAATTGTGGCGGTGGCCTGGCTGCTGGTCTCAGATATCAGAAAAAAGCCAGCACCATTCGGACATCCTGTGCTGGCCCACACTATTGGCACCCTGCCTCTCTCCCCTCCTCCCCAGGTGCCTTCAAAGGCCCAGAGCCACACACCAGGGGCACCAACCTGGTAGGAAGGTGATAGATGCAAACGGGAGACAGAGAGGAAGGGCTGCAGCCACTGCAAGAAGCTCAGGCCAAACGCCCCAGGAAAAAGAAAGCTTTGGGAGCCCGATTAGTGAGGTCAGACATGTTGCCTGGAGAAGAAAGCCCACCGGGGAATTCTCTAGACTAAGCAGCCATCCCTGCACTGCTTGGTGCGCTTGTGGAAAGCATCAACGGCTTTCTTGTTTGCCTGAAAGGCAGTGCTAAGAAAGCTCCCATCTGCTGGTTAGTTCCAGCAACTCACGTAATGGCCGGGGCTGGGCGAGGCTGACCCCAGAAGCCAGGAACTTCTTTAGGGTCTCCCTCAGAGGTGTGGGGGACCCAGAGAGTAGGGCCGGCTTTGGCTGCCTTCCTCGCACATCAGTAGGAGGCTGTATCAGAAGCCAAACAAGCAGGACTTGATCTGGCATGGTGCGGGCAGCTGACCCAACCACTTCACCACTGTGCTCGGGAGCCATGCTTGGCTCAGCTCTGTGTTCTACAGTTCAAGCCACAGCCGCCTTACGATCTCAGCCAACCCTTCAAGCCTCAGCTTCCACTTCGGGACCTTGGGACTGCTAAGCTCAGGCCTTGTAAAATCGCTGCTCCAACGGACACTCAACTCGCTGTTGAAGAATTCGTGGTTTCTGTCTTGAGGCTGTAGGACACCTGAGGCCTGGAATGCTCACTCACTCATATCAACAGGTGTAAGCACAGTTGTCAGGTAATTTTCATAAAATTCTTTCTTTCATGATCTTTGCCTTGTAAGAACAAGAATTACAGACTGGGAAGGAAGTATGATTATTCTTTTATGTTATTTGAATACACAGTACATACACACACACACACACACACACACACACACACACACACACGAAAACTTTCTAAAGGCTGTAATTTAACAAAAGATTAGCCTCCTGCCACTGGGGAAGGAAGGCTGAAATCAAGGGAGGAAAGGGTGGAGCCCCAGGAGGGAGTCCCCTGGCCTCCAGGACACTGGAAGGACAGGAAATGGGCCCGAGGGCCAGCCTTGCAGGCCGGATAGCCTTTCTGCTACCTGCATCTTAAGTGCAATTCGTCTTCAGCCTCGTAACCAGTGACTCGAGAATGGCGTTATTCAGTGCAGAAATATCAGTTCAGACCTGAGAAATAATAAGTGAGACATGTTCAAAGCCAATTAGCACTGCTATGTGGAGTTAGATCAAAGATTGTAGCCCTGGCTCCCCAGGGGTTTGGGTGTGACTCCGCTGTGTGGAATGCGAGCTATTTATCAACAAAGCAGCTGCCCTGTTTGTTGTTGTGCTATAGTCACAAGTTAACCTGTTTTTGTTTTAATTTAAATTAGCTAGAACTGGCATTTTACATAATTTACTACTTTGAACAGTGACATCAAAGACTTTCTGGCCCACTCAGAAGAAATGGTAGGCAGAAATGTCCAAATGCGAATGCCAGCGAGCGAGGCGAACTCACCCAGCTCTGCTCCATGCCCGAGTTCTTTGCTCTGAAGCATTCCTTAGGCCTGCACGTCAAAGGCAGCACTTTAGCTAAAAGCCAAACAACATCCTGACCTGTTTTCTCTAGGAAAACAGCACACCAGCTACTGCTGCTTAATCAAGTCTTTGCTTTAAAATGTGGACAGATAAGATAGGTGTAGGCTTTTTTTATCAGCAGTTTGATAATTAAATCAAGTGGAACTCCCAGAGCTGGAGCAGTCTTGAAATACCTATGCAAATGGGCAAATGGATGCGGACCTCGCAGCTGCAGGGTAGCCTCCAGACAAAGCCCTGATTGCTGCATCGGGAAGGGTGGGGCCAACGTGAAGGTGCAATGACTTCCCCAGCACCCCAGCAGATTCCAGACAAGTGGATGCTGCTGCCCTGATGTGACCAAGAGCTATCCATTCAGTGTTCTGGGATGTTCCGTTCAGATTCAATGAAATCAGCAAAAATGTGACAAATGTTGGTTTCAGAGCTACCAAGGGGAATTTATACCAGGCAGTGTTTCTTAAGTTTCATGAAACTCCTTGACAATTCCCAGCCATTTAAGAATATTCACTTTTACTTGAAGCCAGCAACAGTCCCAGGTACCAGGGGAGGTGTTGGCGTTTTACCAGGAAGAACAAAACAACGTGACTCTTCAGCTTCAACTACTGAGAAAGAAATAGTCATTACTGAGGTCATCACATGGTTAACTGTAAATTACAGCTAAGTGCCATAAAGTGGGGAAGCAAGATGTTGTGAAAGCAAATAATAACAGGGGCCATTGGCTTAGTCAGCAGGAAAAGCAATGCTTAGCAGGAGGAAGGGACAATCAGCCCCAGCATGAAAGACAAGCAGACTTCAGGCAGCCAAAGGGGAGGCGCAAAAGATGTGCAATCCACGGCCTGTAAGCTTGCCCGTGAGCGTTGGCATACCGCGTCCGGGCTAAGCTGCCCCTTGTAATGCTGCCATCGCATGTCTGAGCTTCCCAGGCCCGGTCACGTTGTTTTCTAGCCTGCTGCTGAGGCACCTGGGAGAGCAGCACAAGATGGCCGAGTGCTTGGAGCCTACTGCCCAGGTGGCAGACGCAGCTCCTGCTGCCCA